GTCTATACTCAACGTGCTACATATGGTTTTGTCTCTCTTTCTTCACCTTGCTTATACCTTAGTCCAATTTAAAGCATATAGACAAGGAATTTTAGAATCAGGTTTTGATGGTATTCTTTCTTACAAAAAGTTATTGTTGGTTTTAAACAGTCATAAATATTAGATACTTCTGTTCTACTCATCCACTATTACTCTATCATTTGTCTATTTGCCTCGCTGTTTTTCTTGTGTCTTTCATGAATGTTCGGCAGCTTATAGACTTTCTGAGGATTGATCACAACTCATATGTGTGCCACAACGTTCCCTTTAAAGAAAAAACACATTAAAAACATGTAGACAATGTACAACTTATTATATCTTATTAAAGTGTTCTTTAACATTCCCTCCCTGAAGTTTATATTATCCCATAGGAAGGATGAAGATGATGATATTGCACTGACTACTTAAGAAGTAAGCATCACATTCTATAGATTTTTTAGAAAAATATAATTCATTAATATCATTGGTGGCCAGTGAGAGGGCTCAGCAGGTAAAGGTGCTTGGTGTGCAAGCTGGGGTACCTGAGTTGTCCTCTGACCTCCACATGCATGCAACGGCATGTGCGTGCCCACATTCACTTACATGAACGCACACATACCCTACATACACACATTGTATATGGATACACACACACACACACGTACACACACAGAGGATCGAGAAGATACACTAAGTTTAGGGCCTGCAGGTATAAGTTACTTAGTTAAGGCAAAACATACACCAGCAGCTGCTATTTTTAACACATTAGTAAGATATGTCTCACATGCCAAAAAGGTGAACCAGTGAAAATGTAAAACTCAGTTATCTATGGCATATTTATGGCATTGTACAGCCATCAATCTTCCTTGAAGGTTATATATTACTGATTGAAGTTTTAGTTCTGTGAAGTTCCTTAATAATCTGTTAGACCTTCATTCAAGAGACACAAATGATTTCCACTCAGCAGAAATGACAACCCCAAAGCCCATGGTTTCAATGTGGAGACAAACAACTGGTTTTCTAACCTGGCATAGCACTCTAAATTCTTCTCTCTGGTGCCGGTGTCTTTTTCTAATTCTCACCTGAACCAGCTTCAACATTCGGAACGTTGTTCCCCCATTAGTGAATTGCACTGATTCCTATGGTTGCCTGAGCGCTGTGGTTTGCACTTTCTGAGATGTGTTTTGACAACCTGCATACTCTTGGCACAATGACGGATACAACATGGTGGGTAATCAACAAACGTATCTCAATGCTGGGCCATCTGTTTGATTTTTCAACTCTGGAAGGAGAGAGGACATTTTCACACAGCTTTTAAAAATCAGAGAATTAATTTAAGTATGAGTTTGGATTTTCATTCTCATGCTATGGAATTATGTGCAAGAGTGAAGTGTGACTAAAGCTATTTCTTGTATCTATGCTTGAATCACTGTTGATCTAAGGATGTAGTTTTACAGGTCTTGAACATCTGCAAACCAGAAGTATTACTTCTTTTCATGTAGGTTCTAGGTGCAGGGGAACAAAATATATCCTCCTAACAGGACACAAGGAGAAAGCTGAGTCCTGTAAATTGTCCTTTGACCTTTACATGCACAATGTGGGAAACTGGCCCACACACATAAGAGTTTTTGCAAAAGATGTGTACCAGCTCATGTATTTTAAAATACATCAACATTAAGCTTTGGCTAAGTATTAAGCGTTGCTTTATTATTAACTCTTGTAATTATGTGCTTTGGGAATTAAACTTAGAAGGCCCAGGATCCTAGATATAATTGTAATGTACACCTAAGCATGGCTCTATCTTGAAAAGCCCATACCCGTGCTGTGGAGTGTCTCCCCTTCTTTCCCTATATGGCTTCCTAACTACTTACTAAACCCACTAACTCTGCTTCACCATGGCTCATCCTGAAAGCCTTCCGTGGCAGTCCATGACCCAGCTTTATCTGAGTAGGAAGGGATGTGCTTAGGCTGCAGCAGATGCGGACAATCCCTCCTGGCAGTCTGTCAGTCCTATGACTATCTGCCTCTTGGCTCCAACTCCAACACCGGTTCCCTGGCTTCACTCCATTCCTGGCCCCAGCTTCCGTGGAGTTTCCTTAAACATGCCAAGCATGTTCTGCTGCGTGGCTGTGGTTTCTCGCTATTCCTCCAAGAAGTTCTTCCTCAAGCTTGACTCCTGCCTGACTTTCCCTTGACCCTCTTTATTGACCTTTGCTCATATCCTCCTCCTCCTCCTCCTCTTCCTCCTCCTCCTCTTCCTCCTCCTCCTCTACTTCTCCTCCTCTTATTCTAGTTCTTCTCCTTTTCATCCTCCTCTTCATCCTCCTCCTTTTCTTTGACCTCCTCATCTTTCTTTTTTCTTTAAGATAGATTTTATTCATACAATATATTCTGATTATGGTTTCCCATCCCCTACCTCTTCCCAGTCCTGTCCTACCTCCCTTTCCATCCAGATCAGCCCTTTCTGTCTCCCATTAGACAACAAATAGACATCTAAAGAATGAAAAAAATAAGATAAATAAAAATGAACATATCAGAATATGACAAACCAACTAAACAAGGAAAAAGAGCCCAAGAAGTGCACATAGATGCCAAGACACTAATTTCTGCATGCTCAGGAATCCCATAAAAACCCAAAGCTGGGACTTGCTGAGCCATCTTTAGTTCTCCCTGGTAGTACTCCTGTCCCACATGCCTACTTACTTTTCTCCACAGTTCTTATTAGCATTGGACACCCTGTATCACACACTGGCTTACAGTGTCTCTGAAGCTCCACAAGACCAAGTTCACTTGTCTGTTTCGCCCATCACTGTTTTCTCAGGGCAGGGAAATATTAGCACAGAATATGCTGCTAATGATGTCAAATTAGGGACATTTATGTTGCACGGTGCTTGTACTTTACCTTCCACTAGTGCAACCCAATCTAATATAATTCTAACCATTATATGATTGTGGGCTTTCATTTCTTTCATCCCCTTGTGACCTTAGTGAAATTGTCTAATTTCTCTGAGCCTTTATTGTCCCCCCATACAATAAGGATGATAGTCAGACCCATATTTTATAAGAGTATTATGAAGAAAAATCTTTTCTTAACATAAACTGATTAAGACCATGCTTGGCTCACAGTTAAGTTCTCAATAATATTACCATGATTTATCTCAGTTTTCAATTTTTCACATTGTGTGTGTGTGTGTGTGTGTGTGTACACCATGACAAATGTGTGGAGGTCAGAGGACAACTTCTCCCAGTTGGTTCTCTCCTTCCATCATGTGGGCTCCTAGGATCAAACCAGGTTTAGCAACAGAAGCCTTTATCTACTAAGTTATCTGACCAGCCCTGTCTCAATCAATAAGGAAATAATAAAAATGTTCAGTGCAAGAGATCCAACTCAGAGTTCCATACTGCTAGGCAAATCTCTCATTTCAGTAATATATCTGTGATAGACTTAGGAGAATATATACTTAATAATATGAATAATATAATATATAATGCACAATATATGGAGGAAGGGCTGAGTGACAGAAAGTAAGGCGCAAGAGAGAAACTAGTTTCTTATTCGTTAGTCAATAGTATCTAATATTATGGACCCCCAATCATTATCCCCTTACAAGTTGCTTTGCCACTCTTTTTGGAGAAGTAACTCAATATCCTTAGGGAAAATATTTTAGTTCTTCTGTGGTAAACAACTTTACCTTTTCCATCTCCTTCCCTTCTTGGTAATGAACAAAATGCTTGTTGATGAAATCTTTGTTGCATAAACGTATGGGAGAGTTAGCGTCAGTGGACACAGGTCCCTATTTACTGAAAAGCTACGGAGCACTCCACACTGAAGAGATCGTGAGGGCAGAACAAAACTCATTCTGCGGCTGGAGTTTATTTCAAGCTCTCTACACAGTCACCACTGCGTCTGAGGGATGGGGTGGGGAGTAGGGGTGGGTGGGTAGGTGTGGGTTTACTTCAGAAGTATTTTTCTAACTGGAGGAGGGGGATTTCAGCTTCATCACCTTCTGTCAAGTAAAGAAAGATACATTTGCTACAATTTCTCTGAAAAACTATTCCAAGAACCCAAACATCAGTGGTTTATGAGGTAGGCACAGGGGGGAGGTAGAAGGCATGAAATGCGGGAAATCCTCCAGTGATTCAGGCACCTCTGAGTCCTTGCTGTTCCTAGTAACAGCCAAGCTCACATACTGTTGACCACCAAGCTTCTCTGTGTATGGAGAGCGGAAGCTGAACTGTGGAGGTGGACACAGAGGAAAGCTCTGACAGCAGTTAACAAGTCTGGCTTGGAATCCAGTGCTGAACTCTGCAGCTTTGATTTCCTGCTGTAACTTATGGCTTTGGAAAGCTTTCTCCAAATGGAAAAGTAACCAAGGAAGCTGTGGAGATCCCAACTGTACTGATAGAACTCTAGCCTTGACATGTTGCAGGAACTGCTGTGGACCATTCCTTTAACAACTGTGTAAAGCCTGCCTAGACTGTGCTGTTACACACTGAGGCCTTGGTGAAGGAGAATCCAGATGGTGTTCTGCCACTAGCAAACCACGCTCCACCATGAGGATTCTATCCCTAGGAGGTCATTCAGGTGAAGTGGAAATGTGTTTGCAGGAAGACAGTCCTGGGAAGAGCATCTGTAATAAGACTAACAGTAGAACTGGAGATACCTGACTTAGATGCTGACAAAAGACGAGTGGCTTATAACTAAGGCATTCCAACAATGATTTTTAAAATGCCCAGCATGCTCATACCTATACTCTGGCATCTGGTGGTGTGGCTGGGGTGTGGAGGAGGCTGTTAGTCTGATTTGAGGGGGTGACTGCATGAAGGGCAGGACAAAGGGGTGTGTGCTGGTGACAGGTCACAAAGGACGGCAGAGGATAACTGTGCAGGTGTGAGGAGATGTGGGCAGAAACCTTGCTGGGAGATGGGCAATTGCCTTCACTCCCTCCCTTTCTTGGGAACACGATTTGTGGCTGGGAGAGATGCTTGGGATGAAGAGACCCGTGAGCAGTGAATGTTTGCTACCTTATTACACTGCCCATAGCTACCGATCCATGGGTGTGTTTAACACCTCCATGGGAAACCTACAACGACAGCTGTACAAGGGAGGAGAGTATGATATTTTCAAGTATGCACCGATGTTTGAGAGCGACTTTATCCAGATTAGCAAAAAAGGAGAGGTGATTGATGTTCACAACCGCGTCCGAATGGTGACTGTGTGTATCGCATCTACCAGCCCGGTCCTTCCACTACCTGATGTCATGTTGCTGGCCCGACCAGCTAAAGTCTGTGAAGAACATGCCAGACGGGCCAGGTTCATCAAGGGGAGATGTTACAAGCCTTCAAAGGCTTTAGAGCTCACCAGGCTGCTTCCTTTGAAGTTTGTCAAGATCTCCATTCATGATCATGAGAAACAGCAGCTGCGCCTGAAACTTGCCACAGGCCGGACTTTTTACCTGCAGCTGTGTCCCTCCTCTGACGCACGAGAAGACCTCTTTTGTTATTGGGAAAAGCTTGTCTATCTCCTGAGGCCACCAATGAACAATTGCATCAGTAACCCAACACTTACCACTGGCGACACAAGCATTGACACCAAAAGTCCACTCGTAAGTTTCTAAAGATTCAAACAGGGTGGGGAGCTTTGGGGAGCATCTCAGAGCAGGTCCCACAGAGAGGTTAGGGCTTTCTTAGGCCCACCTGGGAAATGTGTTACAATTGTTATGGAATAGTATGTATGTATGTATGTATGTATGTATGTATGTATGTATATTATGTAATATATAAAATGAAGTGGATATATTATATGTATTCTCTTCTTTTGGATGCAAGTTCTAGACCAGCCTGGTCTGGAACTTAACTCACTATGTAGTTGAGGCTGGCCTTGGATTGGCCATCCTCCTGACTTAGCCTCTCAAATGCTGAGGTTGCTGACAGGTGCCACCACAGCTGACCAAAACAATTTTTAAATTTGATTACTATATATTAATTGTACATACTAATATGATATAGTGTGACATCGATACTGGTATCTAACATGCAATGATCAACTTTGGGTGATTGGTGATGTTTATCACCCCAGATATCGGTCATTTCCTTGTGTTGGGAATATTCAAAATCCTCTTGCTATTTAGATAAATAAGATTAATGACTGTCAATCATAGATATCCACAGAATATAGGACATAGGAAGTTATTCCTCTTATCTATTAGCCACATTCTCTACGATCCTGCCCAGGTCCTGGTAGCCACTAATATATTTCTGAAATCAGCTTTTTAGTGTAGAACATTTTTTACTTCCTTCCCTTGAGCCAGGATCTACCACCCTGTACCGTGTGTGTGTGTGTGTGTGTGTGTGTGTGTGTGTGTGTTTCAATAAGCACAATCCTCATGTGTGTACATGAACTACTAATTTCAAGGCTATTGATATGTCAAATGTATTCCTTGAGCCAACAGTTCCATTTGTAGAAATGTGCCCTACAAAGACAAACACAAATATGGAAAATACATTCTTCAACAGTGCTTCCTTTTGTCCTAGAATTGCACAGGTGAGTCTAAGTGGCCATTGACTGCAGTGCAGTGGAAGGGATCTTGTCACAGGAATTCAGACACGGTTTCAGTAAGAAGCCCCTGAGTTTCAGCTCCAGAATGAGAGAGGAACTGAGCACTCTGGCCTCTCTGTCACCTCTATCTTACTGTTTCTTCTCCCCTTGGCACAGGTCTCAGAGATCCGTGGAGAAGGAGATCGGGATTCTAGGCTTCAAACATCCCAAGATGTGTCAGAAGCCACTTCTGCTGCATTTGCAGGAGGAGAGAGAACACAACCACAACCGGCTGCTGCAGCTGTTGTTACTCCTGGACCTGCCAAAGCTGCAGCTACTGTTTCTCCAGGACCTGTCAAAGCGAGGCCACCAGGGGTGCCAGGGGTGCCAGGGGCAGCAGGGGCAGCAGGGGCAGCAGGGGCAGCAGGGGCAGCAGGGGCGCCAGGGGCGGCAGGGGCGGCATGGGCGGCAGGGGCAGCAGGGGCAGCAAGGGCAGCAGGTGGCACCACGACTGCAGCAGTAACAGCCCCCCCAGCAGGTGTGGCAAAAGCAGGGACAGCTACCAGCCCGACCTCAGGTGTCATAAGCATGGCAGCAACAACAACCAAGTCTCCAGGCTCAGGCCAGTTAGCCACCAGCATGGGAGGAACCGCCGCCAAAGATCAAGTAGGAATTGAATCCAGCAAGGCCATGGCAGTTGTTGCAAACATAACCTCAGAAGGTGTAGACGTGATCTTGGCAGGAGCTGCCAGCTCTGCTCCGGAGTCCACTTCTGCAGCGGGTGACGCTGGTGGCTCCCCAGACACCAGCCTGAATGTGGCATTTGCAGGCAGCATGACCACCAAGGGGCCTGCTGAGGATAAACCTGAAGCTCCCCTCGTGTCGACCTTGAAGAGTGAAGGCTACATGTGTGAAAGGGATGGGAGCCAGAAGGTTTCCCACACTAGCTCTGAAGCACATAAGGAAAAGAGAGAGAGACGAGAAAAGAACAGAAAGACTAGCAGGAAAAGTTCCCATCACCGCAGGACAAGTCGCCACAGTTCAAGCAAGGACAAGAGCCGGAAAGGATCTTCCTACCGGTCTGTATCGAGCCACCGGAAAACAAGAGAGGACAAAAAGGGAAAAGAACGCGGTAACTTAAGGAGCAAGAGACATAGCTCCTCTTACAGAAGCGAGTCCAGGACTGGTCACAAATCCAGGAAGAACCGACCACCAGCTAACACAGGTTCTGTGACTAAGAAAGCCACTAAGATTAGATCTTTTTTCAGGAGCCTCCTAGTAAGGCCTACTTCAAAACCAGGGGACAACTCATGTGATAGAGGAGGGGTAGACATTGTGACAAAGTTGGTGGAGAAGCAGGACATAGAGACAACAGTGGAGAAAAGCAAGGATTTAGAGTTCAACGACACCATAATCTCTGAGACAATGGAGAAGATCATTCTTGAAACCAAATCTATTTAAGTAAGACCCAGAGCAGGAAGCAGCAACAGAGACCAGGCTCAGAGGAGCACCGGTGAGCCAACTCCAGCTTCCATAATGGCAGTTTCAATAATAAAGCTTACAAAACTCCAAAAGAATTCTGTCTTCTGTTTGCATTTCTGTGTCACACGGCCTGTCAATGACTTCACAGTATCTTCTGTGACATTAACTGCCCCAGTGAGGTAAGCCCTCCTACTGCAGGTTCTGACAAGCCAATGCTGAAGCAAGAGCGGTTTAGCCCCTTCTGGCCCTGGTTCCCTAAGGGGAGGTCATGGGTCACTGGGGGAACTGTGTACCCCTTCTCCTTTCCTTCCCAAATGGTCATTCATGAACGGGAACAATGAGTCTCAACCATATTTGAGGGGATATGGGGCAAGAAGTTGCTGTGGCCTTACTGTGCAGTTGGCATAGGGAAGTCTATGATCTAAACCAACACTTCTTAAACTGTAGGTGTAAATCCTAAATGTAGAATGGCAAACAGACAAACAACAACAGCAACAACAACAATAACAACAACAATCTGGCAATAGTTAAAGCTTTCTAAATTTGTAAAAACAAAGAATTTGAAATCAAAATGAATGAACCTGAGATAACTTTGCAGAGCAGCTTTGACTCTGAACAAACAATACACTTCTCACTGGACATGTCACAGCATTCACCAATGGAAGGTGTCCGAAACACCACTCAGAGTAAAGGCTACTGCAAGTTAGGAGCTGCAGTGTTTTTACAGCAGTTCTCTGCTCCCATTTAAAAAAAAAAAAAGGTTTTAATTACAGAAAACAAAGTCCTTTGTTTTCTCCCCACCCCCTTCTTTAGCATATAAATATTGCTGAACTGTATTGTACAGAGAGACATGTTTGATTTGGAAAAATGCTATTTGAGTTGTTGATAAGGGATTTATAAAATACTGATAAATGCGTGTTGGCTTGAGATCAGAGATCAATTCCTCATAATTTCTGAAAATGCCCTGAACTTATTTCTGTAATTTTGTAGCATATATTTATGTCGTGTTAATCTGAGCAATGATAATTTTTTTTGTTTGTTTTGTTTTTCGAGACAGGGTTTCTCTGTGTAAGCCTGGCTATCCTGGAACTCATTCTGTAGACCAGGCTAGCCTCGAACTCAGAAATCTGCCTGCCTCTGCCTCTCAAGTGCTGAGATTAAAGGCATGCACCACCATTGCCTGGCTTCAATGATAAATTATTAAAGTATAGGTTAAGTCTAAAAAATCGTGAAGATGTTCCATCTTGAAGAATCAAATGTTCAGTCAAGATATGGCTTTTTAGAGATTTGTTTTTATTGTTTTAGATCGTGTGTATGTGGAGGGGGTAGGTTGGTATGTGCATGTGTGTGCATGTGTCCTAGCAACTAGAGGCTAGATCCTCATGGAGCTTGAGTTTTAGACAGTTGAGAGCTACCCAACATGAATGTTGGAGTCTAAACACAGGTCCTCTGCATAAGCAGGACAAGCTTAATCACTGTACCATCGCTCCAGACCCAATATATAATTTCTAGGAAAAAATAGTATGCATTTCATTCTATGCAAATTTGCTTTACTCTCTAATAAACAATATAATTAAATGTATTCCAAAGAACTTTTTATCAATTCTTTGTGAATTTCACATCCTGCACGCCAGTCCTACTCATCTCTCTGGTCTATCCTCTACCCTTGCAACCTTTTCCTCAAAATAAAATAAAAAAATAAAAATAAAAAAAAAAACCCAACCAAACCAAAAAGCACCTCATTGTGGAAGCTGTAGTGTGTCACAGTGTGTCCCACAGTGTACCCCTCTGTCCACACGTCTTCACTTGCAAATGTTCATTGCATCGAGTCATGGGTTTGACTCGAGGCCTCTGGCTTCTACTAGACTATCAATACTGAACCCTCACTAGGACTTCTCTCAGATATCCTTTTGTTGCCCTGTGTCATAGAGGTCTGCATCCTGGATCTACAGGACCAGCCCCTTCATGTGCTCCAGCAGTTCATCCATGGGGTAGATGTTGGGGTGGGCCAACTCAGAGCCCTTGATCTGGGCCTAGGTGGTAGCTAAGGTGGTCAGCCCATCAGCTCTCATACCCACATACCAGGGCGAGCTCTCCAGCACTGCCCCCCAGCTAGCTGACCAAAAGTGGAAGGACAGCTCTCTTGCTCTGCCTTTGCCACCAGGACTGTGCTGCCCAGCACAGGTGCAGAGTTCACTCTCTGAAGTACTGTAGCTGGTAAGGGGTGGGGCCAGCTCTCCAGCCTCCTGCAGGTGTGGCAAGGGATGAGGTTGATGAAGGGCATCATTCCAGTGACCCCATGCTACTACATGACTGGTGACTGTTCAGGCCAGTTCTGCACAGCCCTCAGATGTCACTACAGCCCCAGGCAGCAGCTCAGACCAGGGATGTCCCCTGTGCCTTTGGTGATAACAGACCTTCAGCTGAGGGCTACATGCATTCTTCTTCTCTTTCATCTCTCCCCTACTTACTCGCTCATCTTAGAGGTGCCCAGGGCCTCTGGGTGTCTGGGGTCATCTCAGGAGTGCTATGCCCTGCTTGTACCGTGTGGTACCTGATGAGGGTTGTCTCGGGCATGCTCCACTTGCCTGGACTACATGGTGGGCCACATGGCACAGGACAGGAGCTGCCTCAGGCTTGGTTTGCTTGCCTGGCTTTGTGACACTGGGTGGAGGCTCTGAAGAACTTTAAAAAAATGTTTTAATTTTCTTTTCTGAGAAACTCCTACTTGTACATAATGAAATATGACATCTATCCCCTATTTTCTCCTCCAACTCTCCCCATATCTTTCCCAACAGGTCACCTTCTCAACTTTATCTTTTTTGTTTTTTTTTTAAATAATCTAGCAAGTTTAGTTAGTGCTGCCCACATCTGCAAGGGTGTAGGGCCATCCCTTGGTACATGGAATGTTCCTACCAGGTGACACACCTTCTCCAATAAGGTCACACTTCCTAATCCTTCCCAAACAGCTCTGCCAGTTTGGCACCAAGTATTCAAACATACGAGCCTGTTGGGACCATTCTCACTCAAACCACCACCACTCTCCTGTAGCTCATGCCTGAAAGCCTATAAAAAAAAAGCAATCAGTCATTCTGTAACAAATGTGTAATCCTCCGAAAGTAACAATTACCCTTCTCTAAGCAGCTAGCAACTGCCAATAGCTCCTCAACAAGGAGTGGGGCCTGGAGATCATTTACCCCACCTATGCCTTAAGAGTGTGTGGCTTGACCACACACAGGGAACCACAGCTGCTGCGGGTTTACAAATGTAATAACCATGCCATGGCTAGAAGACTGCATTCCACAGGACTCCTCCCCATCCTCCGGCTCTTACGTTCCTGCTTCTTTGTGCCCAGAGTTCCCTTAGCATTAGTGGTGAGGTACATGGTATGTATGCCCTATATGGGGCTGAGCACTCAGTCTCTTATTCTGAACACATTCACTAGTTGGGCATTTCTCCATTGACTATTGCCTATGGCATAATGAAGCTTCTCTGGCCAAGGCTGACAACAGCTCAGGTCTATGGGCATGAACATAAATATGCATCGGTAGAAGGCTATTTGGCAGCATGACTACGTAGCCAAGTATTCAAACATATGAGCCTATGGAGGCCGTTCTCACTCCAGCTGTCACATGTCTCAGGCCTCAGCTCCAATCAAAAAGCAATCATTCACTCCATCACAAATGTGTAACTATTGCAACAGTGGGCACATCTGGTGAGTGAGGGGGATACAGGATCCAGTGCTGGGTGGGGTCATTGATGTATTTTTCTCTCCCAGCAGCCTGTATAACACCCTCTGGAGCCATACAGCTAGTTAGCCAGCCAGCACAAAGGAAGCTTCTCAGTCAGTTTGAGAATGGTTTCTCTCTGCCCTGTAGCCATAGTACGGAGTCTTCAGCAGTAGGGCCTCACCATACAGTTATGCAAGACAAATAAGGCCAATGACAATAGTCTGTGTTACTTAGAGACTTCTGGGACATTCTTGGCTAATAACCTGAGGAGACATATTCCTATACCTTGTGCTGTGTTTTGTATTCAAAACCCTTTGTCTTCTAGAAACAAATTGTCCACCAATGTAGGGCAATTCCATTAATACCTTTTAAAGTTATATTTTGAAATTAGCTTATTAACTTATAGGTTTCCATAATGCTTTTCCTACATCCTTGGTTTTGGTTAGCATACAGTATTGGTTACTTTTTTGCTGCTGTGATCAAATGTCAGGACTAGAAAGCAACTTAGAGAGAAGACAGTTTATTGTGACTTACCCTTCCAGAGGGAGGGTCTCTAGAGGCAGGGAAGGCACAGATTCAAGCTGTATGAGCAGAAGCAGGAAGCTGGCTGATCACATCTTTCAACCACAACAGGAAGCAAAGAGACAGAGAACAGAAAGTGAGGTGAGATTATAAAATCTCAAAAGCCCACTCCTAGTGATGTTCTCTCTCTAGCAAGTCTCCACCTCTGAAAGGTTCCATGACCTTCCCAAACAGCACTACCAGCAAGAGACCTGATGTTCAAATGCATGTGCCTTTGAGAGAAATTTCTCTGTCAATACACCATACCTACCCACAACCAATTGAATTATTTTTGGCAACAATTTTACATGTATGCCTATTTTAAACATTTATATAATTAGAGTCTCATAAGAATCTCTTGGTCAAAAAGCAGAAAGAGTTAAGAAGGTTTCATCTAGATTAGGATTGGAGGGCCATGTTCAAGATGACCAAATCTTGCAGACTGAACGAAAAAAATAAAAATAGGAAAAGGAAGGCCATGATTGCTTTTAGGTATGTGGAAGAAGGTTTGTTGTAGAGGGAGAGCATAGCCAGAGGCAGAGACGACTCAGAGAGTCCAGAGTGAACATGACCTTGAGCACAGAGGGGAGAGGGGAGAGGGGAGAGGAGAGAGGGGAGAGGAGGGGAGGGGAGGGGAGAGGGGAGAGGAGGGGAGGGGAGGGGAGAGGGGAGAGGGGAGAGGAGGGA